ATAAAAAGTAATTTACAAAATTAGTTTGACTTGAGTTTATTTATTAATGAGTAACGTCTCTTTTGAGTGAATGTGCAAATTTTTAATGTTAAGAGGTTTTACCATGTTATTACAACATTTAACCACTTTTTATTAATTTAAAAATTTAGAAATTATTTCGAATTTAGATCTTGTACAAGAACTACAGCGATGCATATTTTATCAATATTTTAGAAATTGTATTTGAATATTACCAGTACTGACTTCAATGGATTTCATTAAATTCCTTTGAACACAACTGCTCAAAACGGTCTAAATTTATGAAACCTACACATTCAAAACATTATTACTCTGAAATGTTTAATGTAAATGTTAAGTGTAAGTGAACTGTTAAGTAATGTAAGGTCTTTCATGACACTACATATGCTGGGGTGTGAATTTGATAGGTGCTTGATATAAAATAAATGGTGCTTTAAAAAGTCCTTGAATCTGGTGTTCATGAAAGATTGGGAACCCTGCTCGAACCTTCGGGTTACAAGTCCGACTCTCTAACCATTAGGCCACGACTGCCCCATATTAGCGTCACAGTGTTAATTTCAGGCCCCTCTGCTGTAGGTAGACATAAAGCCAAATATATCAAACTACAGAATTAATAAAAAGTATTTTTGTATGCAGTAAGGTTTTTTTTTTTTCCATCCATCCTTGTGTCCATCCTGTGAAGCGTGTCATACTTTAGTCCACCAGTAGAGGGCAGCTAATGAACATTTATGTACAGTAGTGTCAGTCCTGCAGTACAACAACATAGGCCTTTTGGTTAGGAAATTCTCAATTTATGTAAAAGTTCTGTTAATCAGCGTTTCTGTGGGTCTTAAAAGTCTTAATTCGCCCTTCCACAAATTAAAGCCTAAAAAGATCTTAAACCAGAGCAGAAGGTCTTAAATTCATAAAGTTATTTACATTTACATTTAGTCATTTAGCAGACGCTTTTATCCAAAGCGACTTACAAATGAGGACAATAAAAGCAATCAA